AAAAAAAAAAAAAAAAAAAAAAAAAAAAAAAAAAAAAAGAAGAAGAAGTTTTGGAGATAATGGTGTGATGGTCATTCAATTCCAAGGCACTTAATAACAGAAATGCCTACTGACAAATGGTTAAAATGGTAAATTCTAGATATCACTTATTGGATATTATTTTCAAATCTGTTCAACCATTGTGTGGGTTGCTTTTTCACTCTGTGAAAGCGTCCATGGATAACACAGAAATTTTAGATTTTGAAGTTCTATTTACTTATTTTTTCTTCTGTTGCCTGTGGTTTTTGGTGCCATATCCAAGACACTACTGCTCAATCCAAAGTCATAGTGAGTTCCTTAATGTTTCCTGTCAAGAGTTTTTTACTGTTAGACCTCACATTTAGTTATTTGGTCCACTGTGAGTTAATTTTTGTACCATAAGGTAAAGGTCTGACTTCACTGTATGAATTTAGATTAAAAAAAAAAACAAAAAAACGTGGTGAATGCTGCTGCCCAGTACTATGCAATGAAAGCAAGGTTCTTAAAAATACTGCGTCAACCAGTTCCCCACAATGAATGTAATTATGCAACTGCAAGCACGTTCAAGTAAAAATTTTAAAAATTAAAAGAAAAAGCCAAAAACATCATCCGCTGGATCTAACACTGTGCCATGTCCTGCTCTTCCCTAAAGTCCAAATGACTATGAAAAGCACAAATTTTGAGACCCTGTCTCAAAAAAATCCAGGACATCAAGGCAACCACAATAGCACAACTAAAGACACTCATAAACGAGGACTTCTAGAACTGCTTCAGGAAGTAGTAAGGAATGTTTACAAAGCAAGGGGAATGTTGTGATCAGGGTGAAGGACAGCATACCTTTTATTGTAATTGATTTTTTTCTTTTTTGTACTGGGGATTGAACTCAGGACCTTGCACTTGCAAGGCAGGTGGCGTCAGCACCACTGAGCTAAATCCCCGGCCCTGTTATCATTAAACAGTCACCATATTTTTTTTTAAAATCACACCTTATATGTGAAGATGCAGTTTTCCCAGCACTACTGCTTCAACAGATTGCTCTTTTCTCACTGATTGTTGGATTTGTTAAAACTCCAAGGAAGGAGATTCCAGAGTTTCCCTTGATAATTCATACCTAGTGTTTAACAAGTTTCATGGTTTGGAGGGTCTTTATATTTAGTTTGAATCTCATTACTGAAACATGTTTATTTCTTGTACATCCTTAGTAACAACAAGATAAAATGGTTCCTCATAATCTAGGAATACTTTACTAATTATCTTTAAATAGCAAAAATGACTCAATCATTTCCTAGACTGACTTCCTTCAAGTAATGTAATTTAAATTTTCCTTTAACTTTCCCTTATTGGTTCTATTTTTTAATTCTTTGATGATCTTTGAAGACTCCTAAGTCCACTTGAAATTTTCTGTGTTTTTCTTAAGACACAGTCCACCTATTCAGAAGTTACCTTGAAATTCTACAGTTTGTCCCCCTGCTTTTAGCAAGACTATATTTAAATCAACTGGAATATTTCTTATCTCCGAGAAGCTCTGTGAAACAAAACTTACGAATGTAAAACAAACAATCATTAAAGTTGAACTTCAAGTTTCTCAAGATTCTTAGTCAAAAGAAAAGTGAGACTAGTACAGTAGTCACTGTCTTACTTATTTCTTTTCAGATAGGAAAGGATCACTCCACATCATCCACCTTATCACCATCAAAGCAGCAAGTTACAGAATTTGTCCAACAGGAAAGTCTAAAAATAATTTCACAAGATGTCAAACAGAAACAGTGATGGCAAATGAATATTGATCAAAACACTAGGAACAAGGAGCCAGGAATGTAGTCCAGTGGCACAGCTGGCAAGCTGCCTGGCAAGCAAGAGTCCCTGGGTTCAATTTCTGGTTCCAAAAAGAAAACAGAAACCAAAAAAACAAAACAAAACAAAACAAAAAACCCCACTAAGAACAGAACTGTTGTTTCTGGAGAAATGGTTGTTACGTTATGACAGACCACAAGGGGTGAGTTTCAAATGTTTCCTTAGACATACTGCTCTCAAACTTCATGCTGGAAGCCTTAGTAGGAAATACTGTCTGATCTTGAGTAACTAAATAAATAAGAGCAGCAAAACATTTTAGAGTTCCAGGGTTGAAAGCTGGCATACACCTCACATACATTCAGATGTAAGGGGCTTTTTATCATAGAGTGAGAAATTACATCCTCAGCCAATCTCTTTACCACTTGGCTGTTGCCTGCTCAGCCAGCCGGGGCTTCCAAGGGCTTTGCTAGAAGCACTAAGGATACAGGGCCTCGGCAATCATCCATGGCTTAGAGAAGGCAGCAAGATCAGAAACATGGAGAGAATATTTTTTTAAATTTTCACTCTAAAAACTGGGCAGATTCATTACATTATCTTCTTTACTTTGTATATTTTTAAAAGTTCTTAAAAACCTAAGAAACAAGAACGCACAGTGAAGATCCAAACAAAGTAGAACTGGAATAGCAACAGCAGGACTTCCTTGTGTTTCTGTGCAGATGTTGATTACAAATCCATGGAGGGCTGGCGATTTGCCAGAATTCTGGTTATTCTGGAACACACATGCCTGCCTGAAATCTTACACCAACAGCAGATGGCTACCTTGTAAGAGAGCAAAGCTTAGGGCAAATTTTGTTGTTAAAGTGAAAGGAGGTCAATTACCATCCTTATATCTCCCTTGGAGAATAAGCCCAACAGGCAAGAAAGGAGGAGCACAGGCAAGACTGTTACTCTCTTAAATACCTTTACTTAAGACTTACCTGAAAGAGAAATGCAGCACTGAGGCACATCATACTAGATGATATAAATTCTATTTTTAGTTTGTTTTGTTTTGGGTTCTGAAAATCATGCCTCATACATGCTACACAGGCATTCTACTGCTACTCTGCACCCAAGTCTATACTTTTAATTATTGGCCTTAAAAAATAGAAGTTTAATAAAAGGAAAGTGAAATGTAATGTTCAATCATGTCCATAATATATTTATAAGATTATCTACACAAGTCAACTATTATGAAACCTGTAGAAGAAATCTAGACTAAAAACAACTGTCCCTCATTGCCTCAAAGAAGCCTTGACTGAGTTTGCTCTCGGCACCAAAAAAAAGGGGGGGGGAGAAAGAAGACAAAGAGACAAAGAAAGAAATCTTGATATATAAAGGAATAATAAAAAGTATACAGTAATGAGACAAAAATTTTAAATATTCTAAGGACTGCTTGCTTCTTACCAGTTACTCCAAATAAGCCAAGATTATTCTGTAGTAAAAAGGCAGATGTAGGGCCGGGAATTTAGCTCAGTGGTGCTGCTGGCTGCCTCACAAGCGCAAGTCCCAAGTTCGATCCCTGGTATTGCCCCCCGCAAAGTTAATCCTTTAACTTTCAGAGAGAGAGGATATGTGGCTTGCACTACCATATGTATTCCCTTTCTTTATGCCTTCATTTCTCCATAAAAATTTCAAGTCAAAACATAAAAGTGCCGGGTTCCCTGGAAGTTGCCTGCTCTAAGCCCTGCTCCCCTTTTATCCTTTCATTGAGAAAACAATCTGAACTGTCATTTCTTCACAAGATATTTTAACTCCTCCACAAACTAACAAACTGAACAAGAGAAGGAACCAAGCACAGAACAGGTGTGAATGCAGTAATTGCCACAAGATTATTTCCTTCAACCATTAACTCCTTTGGTTTGCAACTAATAAGACCCAAAGCTACCAGCAGAACCTGACAAACATACTAGTGCTTACAAAGAGGACAAACAATTACAGATTCACAGAACCTAATCATGATTTATTCTATATAAGAAATGGTTTTAAGTCACCCTTAAGTATAAGTCACAAAATTGTTTCTTCTAAAATTATTACTGCTCAATAATAAAATTATTCTCTTTCAAAAAGGATGCTGCTAGGGTTGACGCACAACTATAATCCCAGCAAATGAGAGGCTAAGGCAGGAGGTTCATGAGCTCAAGACCAGCCTAGCCTACATAGTGAGTTCAAGGCCAGCATGAGTAAGGGGTGAGGCCTTGTCTCAAAAATCTAAAATAAATAAAATAAGATGTTATTTTCAATGACTGGTTTAAGCATAAGATTAGTAATAAACTCTGTTTCTAATTTGACCACATGGTTTTTACACCTGATAGCTTTTCTAGGCCATGATTAGGTTTTCATCTAAATATATTAGTACCTTGCATTTTCAAAATGGATCAGCTATACTGAAGAAAAAGAAACAGAGTTTTCAATAACTTTTTCCTTGTTAAGATGGCACTATGAAAGACTTACTAGTTTTACTAGCTATTTTTAATTAATACAATTTTGATTTATCATTGCTAACTATAGTGACTCATCACTATAAAATATCTGAAGAAAAATTACTGAGATCATATACAAGTAAAAATAGCATTAGTATTGTTGTGAAAGAGGACAACTCTTTCCTATATAAAGACATGAGCAGTGAAAGCACCAAAACACAATTATTACAAACACAAATTCTACTCACCAGTTTGATTGCTACATATTCATTTGTGTAGAGATTTTTACCTAAGGGAAAAGCAGAATGTACATGTTTAGTGACATTTCTTCTGGGAAATGCAAAGTAAAAATTTAGCTTATAGGGTCATGAGAAAGGTTACATTCCCAACGCTATTCATATAGATGAAACATGATTTGTAAGTGAAAAGCTAAGCACAGATGTGACGTATTGCAGGATGAGAACAAAAACAGCTTGAGAATCTAAAATATAAGGGCACATGAAAAATGTTTAAGAAAACTAGCCAGCCTTGCCCTCCCCCCAAATACTGTTAGTACTTCCTGTTATGGGATGAGGCAAACCAAGAAGAAATGCCAGAATTTCAATGATACTGTTTTAGACTCTTGGAACAGTATAAACAAACCCTCACTCTTATAACTCATTGAAAAATAGGAATTTTTTACTTTCTGCCCTGGTGTTTAGTGGTAATGATGGATGGAATAAAGGATAATGTAAAATAAAATCAATTACTGCCAAGGCCTATGTTTTAGGGAACTTGTCTACTGTCCAACAGGGAAACGGTTCTCAAAGCTATTTCAACTGCTCAGCAGGCCTCTCACCTTTAACCATGCACGCACATCATTAAAAGCCCAATCTTTTGGCTTGCCTGGGCTGCACTAAATGAAGAGTAATTATCTTGGCCATACATGGAATATATAATATAGTTAATGTATGGAAATCACAAAATGCCGTTTTAAAAGATATTTAACTTATTAAATTACAAAGTAACAAAGGCCAAGTATAATAACAAAATACATGTCTGATTAGTAACAATAAGCACCAGTCTTCACAGGCCCGCATACTTGTAAGTAGGCTGAAATATTATTCAGTCACTACTGGGGTTTTTAAATTGCACAAATGCATGTAACATCTGACACACAGGAATTTCACATCAACTGACCGTGCACAGCAAGCAGAGGTAGCAGCACACTGTGCTCACCCTTATGGAGTTCCACTGTCATCTACACAGTACACAGTAGAGCACCATGCAATCAGGTCATGAAAAAAATCACATAATAATATTAGAAGTTTACAATCTTGTGTGACACCTTGTTGGCTATCCAAGGCTGCAGGAGGCCTGCAGGCAGAGGGTTAGACCTGCTTATGTACTTCACAAGGATAACAAATACCTCCAAATTCTTCCTGAAATAAAATTTTTCCTCTCAACATGCCTACTTCTATAAATGGAATAGATATTTTTCTAGGTTTAGATTGGCCGTGCACACCTACAATGCCAGTTACTTGGCAAGCTGAGATATTAGGATTGCAAGATCGAGGCCAACTTGGGCAACTTAAGCAAGGCCTTGTCTTTAAAAGAGGGATTCCTGGGATGTGGCCAGTGGTAAAGCCCTTACTCAGCACATGTGAGGCCCTGGGTTCAATCCCCAATACCAGGGGAAAAAAATTATCTAAGACAGCTAGACTAAGAATTTGGAGTGAAGATGTGGAAGACACACAGCTGTCATTTAGTACACCCATATACCTGTAGTAATTTGCTTCTTGCACGACCCAATCCTTAATATTCACTGCTCCCAAGAGCTTAATACATACCACAGAGTTTAGAGACACTGCACTGGACTTCATATAGGTCCTTATATTTTTTGTGTCTTATCCAGCTAGATTATAAATATAATGAGGGTATGTTCTGCATATCTTAGACACTCAAAACCTCAGCTGATTAATACATACAAATAAATGATATAATTGTATATATACAAAGATGAATATATATGCATGGGTATTCAACTGCTCCTCAGTATTTTCTGATTTTTATATGACATATATTGCTTTTATAATAAAGAAAAACACCTCATTTTGGAGACAAAAAGCTGCTTGTAATACAAGTTCTCGTTTACCAAGCTCTAGACAAAAGGCCCTTTACAAGGTAAGTATATCACTGTCCTTTATGATATCACCACTACTTCCATGTGCCAAACAGCACAATAAGAAATAATTCTGCCTGGAAATAACACGGAGAGAACAAATTGCCAACATGTAACAAATTATTATAACCTACACTAAATTTTTAAGAGCACAACTAGAAAACAGGCCTTTTCCCCTATGTATTCATTGCACTAAGCTTCAAAAAGATACTTTGTATTTCTGATTAATGTTTCTATCAAAAACAAAATTTAAAAGACATTTTATAAAATTGTGAAAAGGAGAAAATGAAAAAATGGAAATAAAGTGTTTGTAAATGGGGAGGGGAAGAGGGGGTGAAGGGAGGACAGGGACAAGGGGAAAAAATGAGAACCAAGACTTGTCATGTAAAGGTACAAGATCCCAATGATGAATGTAACTGTACTGTACACCGAAAATGTACCAACACAGCCAATGAAAGAGAGACAAAAAAGGAAATTGTGAAAAGGACACTACTAACTATGAAAGGAATAAAGGAGATAGCAGAAGACAGTCAACTCCAGGCAGATTAAAACTTCAGTTCAACCCAGGACTTCTACACCAGTTAAGATGCTGCACATATTTTTCAGGAGAATCCTTCCGGGCTCTGTTATTAGTATCTAAAGCCAATTTCAGCACACAGAGCCTTGTACATAGTTTGTCTACAGCATACCCACCCACAAGTTCACGGAGGAATGCCAGGGTATTTATGTATTACGCTAGGACAGCTTGTTCTTATTTTCACTTGTAGATTTAGGAAAAATACTTTTTGTATTATAACAATATATTATAAAAATGATGCCTAGATCTCTTTTGAAGTAAAAAAAAAAATAGCAAGAGTTCAAAGAAATTCTAGGCAGTTGTGGGATCTATTTCTTTCATTCAGTCTTTTTTTTTTTTCCTCTCCTTCTTCAGACTCCCTATGTGGCCCAGACTGGCCTTCAACTCTCGGCAATCTTCCTGCCTCAGCCTTCCCAGTGCTGCGATTATAGGCATGCACCACCATGCCTGACTCTCTTCCACACAGACTTGAGGAGTCACCATTCTGTGTATAACCTTGTTCTAATTTTCCGTGTGTTCAGCTGGGTGGTGGCTTTTCATACAACTGCTGTCACCACACTTTCGGATTCTTAGCTACTCTGTACCCTACGTTTCTGAACTTTCTAGTGTCTCCAAATTCTGAGCCTATCTGGTATATTTTTCATATAAACTGGGCCGATTTAAGTGCTACATCAGTTACCACTTAACAATCAGCTTTCTAGCTTCCAAAATTTTGTGAGCATTTCTCAGGTCTTTATATCTTCTATTATTTGGTTTCTGTGGTTTTATATTTTTAAAATCTCATGGGGGGAACCCTTCAGTTAATAAACTTCTACATATATTATTATTCATTATATGCATGTTTTTATCTTCACTAAGCAGTACATTTCCTGAAGACAAGAATGTTCAAATAACTTTCTGTACCTAGGACCAACTATTTGTACTGAATGTGTCTGTATGTATAGTAAATAACAGATGCTTGCTGAAGTTAACAACACTGTCTTGACAGGAAGTTCTGAGAAAATTCTACAGCAATAAAAAAGGCTTGTTTAGAATCAAATTATGGAGAATAGTAACTTCAGCCTGCTGTGAAATCACCAAAGTCTTAAACTAAAAGAATAAACAATGGTGAAAACTGTATTTTAAAAAATACTAATTAATAGAACATGGAAAGAACATTTGTCTCACAAAGTGGTTATGAGGATTACACAAGGTAGAATATGTCAAAGGACTCTGAAAAATAAAAAGTGCTAGATAAACCTAATTTTTATTACTTCTATTATTATTCCAGGTATGACATACTAATACTGGAAGAGAAAGAAAAAAATAAATAGGATTTATACGCAAAGCAGTCTGAAGGAAAAACAACTAACCTCTGGGTTACATGGATATGTGAAGGATAAGGTAAATAGAAAGGTTAAAAATGATGCCTGGGGCCAGGGATTTAGCTCAGTGGTGCTGCCGCCTGCCTTGAAAGCACAAGGTTCCAAGTTCAATCCCTGGTACACCAAAAGGGAAAAAAATGATGCCTGTCATCACAATCCTTGACTTTAAATTACACTATAGCATTTCTGTGATAAAAATAGCATGGTACTGTCCAAAAAAAACCAAACAAAAACCAGACCTGAAGATCAATGGTACAGACTAGAAATACAGAAAGAACCTCAAACACACTCAGCCACCTTATCTTTGACAAAGGGGCCAAACAAGTTCACTAGAAGAAAGCCTCTTTAACAAATGGTGTTGGAAAAACTGGTTTTCTATATGTCAAAGACTAAAACTAGACCCATGTCTCTCACCATGCACTAAGCTAAAATCAAAGTGGATCAAACCTCTAAATATTAAAACAGAAACAATAAATCTTCTGGAAGAGAGAATATGTAGAACGCTTGAGGAAAAAGAAGACGACAATGACTTCATGAACAAAACCTAGACCACACAGAAAATACTACAAAGAATCAACAACTGGGACCTCATCTTATTTAAAAAGCTTTTGCACAACAAAAGAAATCACCAACAGTGAAAAATTTTAGGCAGCAGTTTCTCAGACAAAGGACTAATACGTAGAACATATAAAGAATTGAAAAAAGCCAAGCGTGGTGGCGCTCATCTGTAATCCCAGCACTTGGGAGGCTGAGGCAGGAGGATCGCTGTGAGTTCAAGACCAGCCTGGGCTACATAGTGAGTTCCAGGTCAGTTTCAACTACATAGTGAGACCGTGTCTCAAAAAAACGACAACAACAAAAATAAATAAATAAATAAATAAATAAATAAATAAATAAATAAAAATAAAAAAATAAAGAATTGAAAAAAATCAGTTCACCCAAATTTAAAGACCCAATTCAAAAATGGGCATCTGAGATGAACATACACTTCTCAGATGAAGAAGTAGAAACAGCAAGTAAATACATGAAAAAATGTTCAATCCCACTGCTCACTTGAAATACGCAAATTAAGACAATGCTCCAGAAAGAATGACTATTATCCAGCAATCAACCAACAAATACAGGCAGGGCTGTGGGGAAAAAGGAACCCTTCTCCACTGCTGGTGGGAGTACAGATAGGTGCAGTT